GAAAAGAAATGCAAGTAAACCTTTTTCTGCAGAAAAAATGCCTATTTATACTTCTGGGCAAAATTAGATCTCAATGGCTGAGGTTCGTTTAATCTTACGGTCCCTATTGACACCGTTTGGAATTCAATGGCCAACCCCAAACGATACCGTTTTAAACTTGACAGTTCGTTTTTAAATTTGCCCGTTTAACTGTTGCAATTATCTTTTTACGGTTGCATTTATTGCACACGTCATTCCAAAGACAACTGTCACATCACGTTGTCAGATTTTCCAGACGGACCCAATCACGCCCATTTCAACACCTCTGTTTACTTTTATCAATTTTGTCAAGTGTTCCACTTCGGCTCCGGCCATAATAATGCTGCATTACATCTCACATCGACTTCGGCCATAGTGATCCTGTATCACACATTTTATTTCGGCTCTAGCCATTATGACTCCGGTCATCATATTTTATCGCGGCTCCGGCCATTATGACTCCGGTCATCATATTTTATTGCGACTCCGGCCATTATGACTCCGGTCATCATATTTTATTACGGCTCCAGCCATTATGACTCCGGTCATCATATTTTATTACGGCTACAGCCATTATGACTCCGCTCATCATCTTTTATTATGGCTACAGCCACGATTAACTCTGGTCATTATTTTTACACAACCACAACCATGATCACTTCGGTCATATTCTATTTAAGACACTCCCAGTGTAACCCACTGCTACATATTTCATTATTAGCTACGGCTATGTTTACATTTAAGTTACAGACTTTATTTCCTCTTTTCACTTGCACTCCTCTCAACATCCCCAATACCATCATTCACAAGTGAATGACTTCGGGGGGGAATAGTGTAAGGACAGGTCCGAGGTGCCAAGCCTCGGACTGCTACAGTAATTCCTCTATGACCGAAGTGAGGAATAAATCCAAAGCTTCCCGCTCAAATAGCTGCATGACAATGGTAATGAGCATGCCCGTACCTGATTCCTTATGATGAGTCGCACAGCAAGTATGGTGGACACTTGCGCATCTGGATACCTCTCAAATTCCCGTCCCGAAATAATCGTCTGGATGAACACGTCAGGCTCCGATTATCTTGCTTGGCATGCCACGTGGGTTCCTCATTGGACCCTATAAATACCCCCCGGGCCACGTCAAAAAGGTAATTGAAACCAACCTTAAACTTTTCTTATCTCCGCCCTAAAGGTAGCCCCGATTATTACTGACTTAAGCATCGAAGTGTCTACCCCGAGTTCCACCTCGGGGCTTTGCAGGTCATTCCGGAGTGCAAGCGTGGACTGGAGAAGGACTTCTGGTTTGGTGCAATTACAGTCTTCTTATTTGTAGGACGGTAATAATTGGATGGACTCACATGTGGCATCATTTTCAGGGATTGATCCCTCCTATTCTTTACCAGATAATGTTGCTGTGATAACTCTCCAGGTAAAGTAGAAAATGGTTTGTAAACAAGTCAGAGAACTAGCTCCTTAATGTCATTTCTTGTTTGGCCTGAAACAAAAAATGAGAAAAATTTATTGTTTCTGAACATTTTAGGAGCTTGAAAATGGAAAAGTGCTCCTTAGGTTGGCACACCTATACGAGGTATGACTTCTCCTCACTTTAATAACCGTGATGGATCCTAGCTAGGTTTATACCTCAGCTTTGTTGTTCATTATATCCGCTTTAACATGTTCACTACCGAGCCACATGCTAATTAATAATAACGGCGGGTGTTTTGATGATATCAAAGAGTGAAGAGGACAAGGACTATTCTGTAATGTCTAGTGTGGAACTGAAATGGCTGTTTCCAAACAAGATGGTAAGAGCATGCAATAAGCATAGGATTTGTGAACATAAATACCCTGTTCATGTATTGATAGAGATATCACTGGGTTAATTGCAGATAAATAAAGTTACAGAGATGAGCTTGTCTGGCAACCAAGAAAGGACGGAGATGGAAAAGAAGAGGTTGGTTTGGAAAGTGGATCCAAGCTCTGCAGCAGAAGAAGGGAAGGTAGTGCAGAGGGGAGGAGCGGTTGATCCTGGGAAGCTGGTGGTAGAACTTGCTCCGATGGAAATCCGTACTTTTGTCATTGACTTTGATTATCTGAGAGTGTTTGATGCTTGACACAGAAAATGTCCGTCTCCTCCTATACTATTGTCCGAATGGTGAAATCAATGTGCTGTTGTTTGTAATATAGTGCTATATGGTATTAGCAAAAGGAGAGTTGTATACATGGAACATGCCTTTTTCATGTCCTTTAAATTGTCCCAATGGTTATGAGCTTGATTTCTATATTAAAAATC